CAAGCAATAAGGATAACCAAATAGCCAAGGGATTTTCCTTCTAGATTCCAAGACGAAATGGGAAGAGTTGGTTGATATTAGTGTCAATTGTGAAATTATGAAATTATCTTGAGAAAAAAAAAAGAAAGAACAGATGCTCAAGCTTTGTTTATTTTAAAAAGGGAGGAAATGTTGATAAGAGATTAATAACGTTCAGTTTTTATATGGATTGTGAAAGAGATGATAAATGGGAGTGATGAAAATGTCCACAGACCCCGAGATCAATATTCCTGTCAACGTGACGTCAAATTTGAAGGTGACCTTCACTTCTGAAGGTCATCAGTTTGTCTCCGAATTTGAAAGGCCCCCAACCTGAACGTGAATGAATGCACAGATCAAAGTCTAGTATGGAGTTAGATTTCAAGGTCATCAAGTACACCACACTGGCCTTGTTTTAGTTAGCTGTTTTCAACACCTTGTTTTTCTGCCAGTACACACGTTTTGCATTTGTGTGAAAAAAAATGTAAAGATTTGTGTGTGTACGGGCAGAAAAAAAAAGGTTTGGTTGTACCTTTAAAAGAAGGTTCAGTACTTTATTCAGCTGAAAAGAGGTGGAATTTGTATTTGAAAAGAATAAAAAGAAAGGTGAGCTGTTGTGAGAATGAAAAGCATTTAAGTTAGGAAGGGCAAAAAAAAAAAAGAAAGAAAGAAAGTACCTACAGTATGAAGGTAGAAAGTAGTCTGTTGTTTCTTTGTTATAATGCAACAGGAATCCCTGTCTGGGATCTTGAATAGAGCACTTGTTATATCGAGGGGGCTTCCCCTAAAAGGTGTGTCTGTAATGGGACTGTTTGATTGGTTGATTGTACCTGGAGGAGTGTCTGGCATTCTGTCCGTGTATTGGATAATGGAGAGAGGTGTGTTTTGTTTATTTATTGGTTGAGGGAAAACCGCAAAAAATGTCATCTGCTATAGACATGCATTTCATCATGGCTTAAGCTCTCTCTCTCTCTCTCTCTCTCTCTCTCTCTCTCAATAATTGAATACAAGTTTTATAGATATAAATATTGAAGTGTTTGCCATGAACCATCTGATGTTTCTAATACCCCCCCTCCCCCCCCCCCAAAAAAAAAAAAGATAAAAAGCCTTCCTCCTGTGGTTGTCAGTGTTAATTGCTGCCCTTTACATCCTGCTCTCAGCCAGTTGTAGAGCTGTGTTATTTTCAAGGCGGTAGTTTCGGTGGATTAACCAGGTGCTCAGATGTACTACCTGTATGACATTTCACTGCATTATTATAGCAGCAAAGATATGCCAGAAGTTTGCAAATTGACCCAGTTTTATAATCATCTGGTGGTACCCACAGCTTGAATAAGTTTCTGGTGAAGATTAAAAAGGTGCTGATATAGCAGCTAAAAAAAAAAAGAAAAGCAAAAAGAGAGTGTTCTGGTAATATTGGTATGATTTAAAGAAATGCTAATTGCTACTGTTGGCCTGGTACTTGCAGATATTTTTCATATATACTCTGAAGTTGACTGTGCATAGCATCTTATTGCAGCAGTACAAATGTGATGGGCTTTGTCATTTAGTGTTTAATATTCCAGTGTGCGTGCGGCAAGTCGCGTACCAAAACTTTTTTTTTTGCTTGTCTATTTGTATTAATTGTCTTTGAAATATTCACGAAGGTGCTTGTAGAATGGGTTTTCTATATTATTTTCAGGCAGAGACTTTGACTAGAAGCCAATAGTGTTAACTGTAGAGTTATCCTTTGATTACATGAATGCACATGTTGATGCATGCATACACGTACGTTGCACATGTTCTGTACGAAGGATTACCAAGTTTCTTTTGGTACAACATTTATAAATATTAAATATGATAATTTTGATTTTCAGCATTTTGTTTTACATAGAGTTACTGCTGGCAAATTTTTTTTAAAAAAAGTGTACGAACACCATGTACAGTGACGTGACAAAAATACACTGACAGCCAACAATGACAATGTGCGAAATCAGTGAATTGAGATGGCATGTCTGTAAAAATGAGATATTTTGTATTACATGTTTTATGCATGAATGCTAAATGTTTGTCTGTGTGGAAAGATGTCTTGTGCACAGTGTGTCTGAGTGCATGTGAAAAACTGTGAAATGAACTTGTTTGTGATTTTCTTATTGTAAAGTTTCAACTGGGTCATTTCACAAAAAAGTAAAGGCTTCAGTCACACTTTTTTTGCAATAATTGTGGACATGCACTGTTACTTTCATCGATTCATATTATAGTACTGCCCAATATGGAAAGAGAGCAATAATTGAAATAATATAAAACAGTTAAACAAAATATTACCCAACGTGTGTTACAGACACAATTCAAATGTTCACTTTTGGTGGAATGATCCGGTTAAGACATTTTGAAGTGTCCAGCAGCATCATCAGCAGCAATATCAATCAAGATTCAAATCTTAAATCATTTTAACAAAAACTGATATACTTCACTCCTATGATTAGGCAAAACTGAAAACAAAGTGCTGCTCAATAAATATGTACAGTACTTGTATCATTTTGTTAGACTACATGGTCGCTTGTTTAATTCTTCAAATCAGGTGATCATGAGTCAGCTTGAGTTCACCATTTATGCTTCACAAATTTTGACCATAACAAATTTATAGATAAATGGATTTATTTTGTAAAAAAAATTCTTATGTACAAATGTATTTGATATATCTCAAATTTTTTTGGTCAGATGTTTGTGAAATTTCCATGAAATGTGTAATTTAAAGGGGAAACATTGAGTTGAAATTGTTGATTAAATCTTTGTCACATAATTGCAGAACCTGTACCGTATATTTATTGTTTGATGATCAGTGTTCATCCATACAGGCAAATTCAACCCTAGCTACATTTAAAGCTGTGCCAATGGCAGTAGTGCTATAGCTACGACATAATGCATATTTAAGCACCTGCATTAAGTCACGGGTGAATCATCACAATATTGACTTAAGGAACAGCTTTTATCAAAGGAACAATCTGATATATAATTATATGCATCAGGTGTTGTGCTCGAATATGGAACGGACATCAAAGTAATTGGCCACCATTTTCTGATCCAAAAGATTTTTTTTGGAGAGCATCACTGCTGTTTTGAGGAATGGCAAATAGTGCTGTGGCAGCACGGTTTTAGACGTAACAAACTGCACGGTTGTCATGGCAATGGGTGCCCACGCATTGAGACTACTTTGCTTGACATTCTCTGGGTAGGAAAGACCACCATTTTCCTGATACCTTGTTACATTGTTGCAAGGGAGTCAGAAGCAAAGACAGTGCGCCTTGTTTTTTACAAGAGCATTAGAAAAAGGATCAAACTTCAACAGCTAAAACTGTTCCAGAGATGACCCTGAAACTGTAACCATATTGGAAAGTAATTGCAAGGGAGAAATAGCCGTCTGTGTTCAGTTCCTTCCTGCCAGAAACAGGTGCTCCCAAAACTGTCATGGAGGACAGATCTGCCAGGTTAGCGCCAGTTCATCTGGGCACAACACCCCCTAGGGAGCAGTATATATCAGGTGCCATGTCTGGACTCCAGCAAGTTAAGGGGGAGTCTGTCCCGGGGAGTGGACCCCAACAACACCATAATGCCACTCCTGCAAAAGATGGAGAGGCTTTCGTCAATGTTAAACCACTGGCCCAAGACTCGCCAGGAAAAAGGAGAGGACTTACGTTGCCGAAAGATAGGCCATTTTTGCCACACCAGTATCTCTCCTTGACCTCATTACCTGCAACCCCGCCAAGGTCGCCGAGGCTGGGCCATTGCTCCTCTCAAAAATCTTGGACCACTTCACTCACTGTTGACTGCGGGGGATCAGGGCCAAGCTCCCCGAAAGACCAGTGCTCCCCCAAGCGGCTTTTGTTGTTGAATGCACTGAACATAAGTCCACCACATAGCGAGAGCAACAGTCCCTCACCAACTTCGGGGAGAAATTCGCCCAAAGAGACGAGAAGCAAAGGGATTAATTCCCCTAAGAGTCGTTTTCACTTCAAGTATAACTGGAGGTGTAAGTCTGTAAAGGGTCTTTAGTTTATGTCACATTTGAAAAGGTAATTTGATAGCATTTTAACTCCCATCTTAATAGAAATTGATGTAGCTGATTGGTTTAGTTCTTTTATGGAAAAAATAAAAGATTTGATTTCATACAATGGGTGACATTTAGAAAAATACCAATGAAATTGAATATGACAGTCATCCCATGGAAGTACCCCATTGAATGTGAGATAGAGGTTAGACAAAGAAATATGGAAATAAAAGCATCCATGTGCTATTACCTTTGAGTGCAGCTGATGTAACGACAAACCTTATCACATTAAACAGTTCATTTTGCCAAGCCACTGAGCTATGGATCTAGGTAAAGCAGGAAGCTGGCATATTGCAGCATCAATTTCAGGAAGTTAGCTTATTGCAGCACCAATTTGTGAGTGATGAGTTTTTGTTATGTGTTTGACTTCTAATGCAGCTGGCCTAGTGCCATGTGTATAACATGGCCAGCTGGTACCATGACTGAGATCTTATTTTGTAGGAATTGGCACTTAAAATGCAGGCTGCAACAAATGTTGCCATGTACTACGTATTCTGTGTAACAGTCATATTGTGACTGGTTAATAAGTAAATGGTTCCATAACTGCGCTGTTGCTGTTGTTGTTGCTGCTGCTGATGCTGTTTTATTGTCATTAATGTAAATGTGAACAATTGTTGCAAATGATGTGATTTGTATGAGAGTGCTTGTTTGTCTTCGTTTGAATATTTGTTTCAGTTTATATATATATATATATATATATATATATATATATATATATATATATATATATATATGAGTGAATGATAAACAATACTTGTTGGTCTTAAATACTCTTACTATTTTTTATTAATGTGAAGTGAAAATATTAGGGTAAAAATTGTATTATTTGCTGGAATAGATATGGGTGATTTAATCTTCACATATTTAAATGATGACAGCGCCCTCTATCCTTTTGTAGCTATATCACTAAAGAACTACACAGGGCTTGAGGCCAGCAGAGTGCCAGGGAACAATGCGGGCGCGGTTCATGGGCGGAGGTCACTCAGCGGCTCCGTCAGCCTGGACAGCACGGGCGGACAGAGGCTCCATGTACATAGCCCTAAACGGGTGAGTGTAGTAAGTGAAAAACATATTTAAGGAGTTGTAAGCTAGACGTGAAGTGGAGTCACGTGTGCTGTGGGTTTCTCGTGGCTTGAGGAAACATTGTGTGAAGTCCATCACACCATGAATTTCTTAAAGAACAGAGGTACAGTTTCACAAAAGTATGAAAGACTTACAGTTGGTCTTGTTTTAAAGACTGCTTTGATTTTGTATTAATACAAATCATTAGACTATAATGATGATCTACTGTTGAAATTTATAAAACCAAAGCCATTTCTTCTTTTTCATTTTGATTTTGCTTTAGTACAAAGCATTAGACTGAAATGATGATAACAGTGGAATTTCTTAAAGCTTGAGCCATTTCTTTCTTTTCATTGAGAAAAAGATGCTATGGCAACTAATATGCTTCATTTTTAATATTGCACTACCACTAGTACATTTGGTTGATTCTTGAACATAGACTTTTGTTTTTGGCCTCCATGTTAAGACCGGTGTTCAGATCCAAGTTTATTTGTGAAACTGGTCCCATATATATACTGCAGCAACTAGTTTGTCTGCAAAAAAAAAAGTCACTGCAGCAACTAGTTTGTCTGCAAAAAAAAAGTCACTGCCTTGTACCTCTGGCTGCACACTACGTGTTCATCCTGTTGGACTGCTTGGATCGTGCACTCTTCACTAGGTTAAAGGAATGAATTCATTATGGTAGAAAAATGTGCATTTCACATGAACCTTGGTGACTTGCATTCTTCCTATATTACAAGGAGTTAGGGTCATGCGTTTCATCCTACTATCATGACATGTTCTATTCGACAGAAGCTAATACTTGGTACTAGTGGAAGACTGCATTCCCATTAACCCATCGTACTAGCTGGATTGATCTAATTTTGCTTCTCACCCAAGTGCTTACTTGTAATCAGCTTAATTGTCTGGCACCTCCCCTTGAGTAACTAGAAGGTAATAGACTATCATTAATTACCCTCTAGCAGCTTGAATAGGCATGCCAGACATTTAAGCCGCTTACACTGAATGCGATTTAGTAAGAGTGAGATAGATCCAGGTAGTGCAGTAGGTTTATAGGAACTCTCCCTAAGCCAACAAAGGCAAAAGTCTCTCTCTTGCACTTCTGGTGAAGCGCTTCAAAAGATTCTCTTCTGCCATAAACTTTATTCTGTTGAAGTGTTGATTAGAAAAGTGTGGTTTAAAATTGTTTTAAAAGAAAATCTACCTATTCATTTTTGATCTTTATATATTGTTATATAATTATCAATTTATGCATACCAGTTTCATTTGCATTTTGTAAGTGGTAAATCTGTTTTACTTTTTGCTGAGTTTACTTTAGCAGTGGCAAGGATTTCAAATGAACAGACAACATTCTGACCTCAAGTGCAGTTTGTTATTATTGTAGCAAATATAGATGCCCTGATATGACCTGTGTAGAAAAGCTGATATTTTTGTAACCCCTTCCTGGAGATAATGGTATTGATTTATAATGTATTAGTGGAGCATCTCTTTTTTTTTAATGAAAAATACGAATGCCATTTAAATGTCCCCGTGTCTAGTGATGTATGGTAGTTGATTAAAACTTCAAACAAAACTGAAAAGGAAAATTCTCAATGCATTTTTTTTTTTGACAGATTGAAAACATGCTTTTCTACTTCTTTCAGCACTATAGTGTTGATGATACCATTGAACCAATGGAAATGGGAGAAGAGGGTAAGTGCGGGTACAAAGCTAGTGATTGGTAGAAAGATGACCATTTAGTGATATTTAGTATATTTTAAACAATTTAGAGAGTTTTTTAGTCTTCATATAGACTTTGGAAGCATATGCTATAATTCTACATAACCTTGGTCACATTTTCACCATGTTTTCATTTACTACTGGAAATCCACTCGGAGAGTGCAGGCCTTTGCTGAGGCAGCTCATTCCTCATTACCAATTAAAATTATGTTAATGGACCACCACCATAATGTATTTGGTGGTAAGTTAGCTCATACCTGGCCTATCCTGAAAATTTTATCATAATTTTTTTACAACTTATTGTTAATTTACAAACCAACAAAGGTGAAAGCATAACCTTCTTGACGGAGGTGCCAATTGTGAACTCTGTACAGGTAAAACAGGTGTCTGTATGTCACTTCTGCCTGTTATGTAATGACTGATGACGGTGGCAGCAGTGGTTAAAATGACAGTGATGGATGACCCTACGACAGGGATGCACAGATTACACAATACGCAGCCATTGAGAGATGAAATGGAGTTCTTCATTTTGTTTTTTGTTTTTTTTTTGTTTTTTTCTGTAGACGAAGAGATGAATTTTGCTTCCTTCATGAGAGCTCACAAGTGCTACGACCTAATTCCCACCAGTTCCAAACTTGTGGTCTTTGACACACAGCTGGGCGTAAGTAGGGAGGAGAATGGCCTTAAAGTATCCACTTCACATTTTGACTTGTGTGGTTTATGCAATACTGATTACATTATTGTAGTAAGACACACTGAATTGATAACGGCATAGTCGGGCAATTAGCCATTTATGCAAAGTGTTGTATAAAGCAAGTTGGCTTCTACAAACTTGTTGCATTGTCTTTGTGAAGGTATATCAATGTCAGTTATATTAGATTTCCAAAGGGTAGAAGTTCCTGTATTGAATCAAAAACTAGTACTACATACACTTGATTGTATGAAATAGTTACTATTGTCCTGGATTCAGAGCCTCTTATGTAAGCAGTCAGCAACAAATCCACAATGTAAGAACACAATTATTTTACCACTAGGTCATCAGCATTTCACTGTTGAGAATTTTGTTGTTTCTGCAGGTAAAGAAGGCGTTCTTTGCCCTGGTTTACAATGGTGTCAGGGCGGCGCCGCTGTGGGACAGCTCGAAGCAGGACTACGTGGGCATGCTGACCATTACAGATTTCATCAATATTCTACAGAAATACTACAAATCACCACTGGTACGTAGCAGCAGTGACAGCGCCAACATTTTGGTTGACTGTGGTTTGGAACTTTTTTGCACAGCATGAAAGTGATATTGTGATTACTGTCACTCTTTGTGACAAAAAGTCCTGGCAAACTGCTCTGTGGAACTGAAATGGTTCATTTTTTGAAGTTGTATTAATTAATTGTATTATTTATTTATTTATTTGTTTATTTTGATTGTGACCTTTTGTAAATTGGGGTTGATTTTGATGACAGTTTTGCAGTGGTTAACATTTGAACAAACATTTCCACAACTTTTTTTTTTTTTTTTTTTCATTTTGATCATTATTCTGCCAACCATTAACTGCTATTTCGCTGATTTTTGAATTAATGGGGAAATGGATGTCATACTTAAATTTAAAAAAAAATCAAACCCAGTCTGATTGAACCAAGTCAATCCTAAACCATCACTTTTTATCTTGATTTTTTGTGAAAAAAAATATAGGTTTGCTATATCCTAACTTACTTAAAGTTCGGCTATATGGTAACCTTGCCAGTTTAACTGCCGATTACAGATGTGGGACTTGGGGTTTTGCTTAAGCTTTGCTGATAAGTCAGGTGTACCATGTTCTTAATGGTTAAGAATGGGATGTCAGAATATTCCTACAGGTTGCCTTACCTTGTTGTGTTTAGTTATCCCATCTGCCCAGACATCATAGGTGTGGTGTCAATTCTTGTGTACCATTTGCCCACCTTGGATGTACCTTGAGAACATACAGATGAATATAATCTATCTTTAAAACCAGTAAAGTTTGTATCTGCACGTTGAAATGGCCCACATTTCTGGATGCACATATTCTTATTCCAAACCACCACTACCCCCTGCCCCCACCCCTCAAGTATACAATTAAATTGGGGTATACACAGCATCAAAAAGGAGTCTGGAGTTCTCTCCGTGTGATGAGCCTTACAAAGAGCCTCAAATGTGTTTTCAAGCACTTTTCACTATGAAACATACTAAAACAGCACCTTTCTATCCGAATTAGCTATTTTGAAGCATGTATTTGAATTCGAAAAAAAAGTGGCTTAAATAGAGACATTTACTGCACATGTAAATCAATTTTTTTAATGAAAATAATTCAAAGCAATCAGGTGAAAAAAAACTTTAAAATATAATAAACTGCATGTATTACCTACATTGAAAACAAGTATGAATGTGGTGGAGGTCATTGTTCAAGGTCATAGCATGAGATCAAAGGTCAAGGTCATAGGAGGTCAAGGTCAAAGCATGGGGGTCATAGTGGTAATGACATTTAATCCCCACCTCTTACCCTTTTCATTAGTGTAGCACAAAATGGATATAGTGGCATTGGGATAAAGATGCATAGATACTGATATTTGTTCTTTGGTATATAGATGAGTGAAGCCCTCCTGTTCTTTTTAGAATTATGATGATTTAAATATCTTTGTTTTAGGAGATGTATATGGGTTATTGGCATATTCATTATAAGAATGTTTTGATTGTATTGGTCTACAAAGGTATTTTAATCAACACTGTAGTTTTTTGCAGCTGTAGTTATGAAATGTTATGACGTAATATTTGTTAAGAGTTTAGAAGAGAGAGGTGGGATAATTTTCAGTGGCAGGAGAGTGGAGAGATGGCCTTTTTTTTTTTTTTTTTAAACAAGGAGTTTGAGTTCATATGAACTCTCTGTTTATTTGTAGTTGGCCGGTACAGAGAAAGAAGAGACTTCACAGAAGTCTTTGAATAACTATTGGGTGAGATTTTGGTTCCTCTTTTTTTGCCTCTAATCCTTATCTACTCCCACACACTAGCAAACGCACATATTAAAGTATGTGTGTATGTCTACATATATATATATATATATGAATGTGCAGTTGTAACTNGACAGATTGAAAACATGCTTTTCTACTTCTTTCAGCACTATAGTGTCGATGATACCATTGAACCAATGGAAATGGGAGAAGAGGGTAAGTGCGGGTACAAAGCTAGTGATTGGTAGAAAGGTGACCATTTAGTGATATTTAGTATATTATAAACAATTTAGAGAGTTTTTTAGTCTTCATATAGACTTTGGAAGCATATGCTGTAATTCTACATAACCTTGGTCACATTTTCACCATGTTTTCATTTACGACTGGAAATCCACTCGGAGAGTGCAGGCCTCTGCTAAGGCAGCTCATGCCTAATTACCAGTTAAAATTATGTTAATGGACCACCACCATAATGTATTTGGTCATCAGTTAGCTCATATCTGGCCTATCCTGAAAATTTTATCATAATTTGTTCACAACTTATTGAGTTAAACTGTTAATTTACAAACCAACAAAGGTGAAAGCATAACCTTCTTGACAGAGGTGCCAATTGTGAACTCTGTACAGGTAAAACAGGTGTCTGTATGTCACTTCTGCCTGTTATGTAATGACTGATGACGGTGGCAGCAGTGGTTAAAATGACAGTGATGGATGACCCTACGATAGGGATGCACAGATTACACAATACGCAGCCATTGAGAGATGAAACGGAATTCTTCATTTTGTCTTCTTTTTTTTTTTTTTTTTTCTGTAGACGAAGAGATGAATTTTGCTTCCTTCATGAGAGCTCACAAGTGCTACGACCTAATTCCCACCAGTTCCAAACTTGTGGTCTTTGACACACAGCTGGGCGTAAGTAGGGGAGGGGAATGGCCTTAAAGTATCCACTTCACATTTTGACTTGTGTGGTTTATGCAATACTGATTACATTATTCTAGTAAGGCACACTGAATTGATAACGGCATAGTCGGGCAATTAGCCATTTATGCAATGTGTTGTATAAAGCAAGTTGACTTCTACAAACTTGTTGCATTGTCTTTGTGAAGGTATATCAATGTCAGTTATATTAGATTTCCAAAGGGTAGAATTTTCTGTATTGAATCAAAAACTAGTACTACATACACTTGATTGTATGAAATAGTTACTATTGTCCTGCATTCAGAGCCTCTTATGTAAGCAGTCAGCAACAAATTCACAATGTAATCATGAACACAATGACTTAACCATGGTGGCACTAGGTCATCAGCATTTCACTGTTGACAATTTTGTTTTTGTCTTCAGGTGAAGAAGGCGTTCTTCGCCCTGGTTTACAATGGCGTCAGAGCGGCACCACTGTGGGACAGCTCGAAGCAGGACTACGTGGGCATGCTGACCATTACAGATTTCATCAATATTCTACAGAAATACTACAAATCACCATTGGTACGTAGCAGCAGTGACAGCGCCAACATTTTGGTTGACTGCGGTTTGGTACTTTTTTTTTGCACAGCATGAAAGTGATATTGTGATTACTGTCACTCTTTGTCACAAAAAGTCCTGGCAAACTGCTCTGTGGAACTAAACTGGTTCATTTTCTGAAGTTGTATTAATTATATTATATTATTTATTAGTTTATTTTGATTGTGACCTTTTGTAAGTTGGGGTTGATTTTGATGACAGTTTTGCAGTGGTTAGCATTTGAACAAACATTTCCACAACTTTTTTTTTTTTTTTCATTTTGATCATTATTCTGCCAACCATTAACTGCTATTTTGCTGATTTTTTAATTAATGGGGAAGTGAATGTCATACTTAAATTTAAAAAAAAAAAATCAAATCCAGTCCAATTGAACCAAGTCAATCCTAAACTATCATTTTTTATCTTGATTTTTGTGAAAAAAAATATATGTGTGCTATCTCTAACTACCTAAAGTTCTGCTATGTGGTAACCTTGCCAGTTTAACTGCCAATTTCAGATATGGGACTTGGGGGTTTTGCTAAAGCTTTTCTGATTGGTCAGGGGTACCAGGTTGTTAATGGTTAAGAATGGGATGTCAGAACATTCCCACAGGTTGCCTTACCTTGTTGTATTTAGTTATCCCATAAGATCAGCCCAGACATCATAGGTGTGGTATCAATCCTTGTGTACCTTGTGTGGCCCCTTTGGATGTACCCTGAGAACATACAGATGAATATAACCTGTCATTTAAGTAAAGTTTGTATCTGCACGTTGAAATGGCCCACATTTCTGGTTGCACATGTTCTTATTCCAAACCACCCCCTCTCCCCCCGCCTCCACCCCTCAAGTATACAATTGGGGGTATACACAGCATCTGAAAGGAGTCTGAAGTTCTCTCTGTGTGATGAGCCTTACATAGAGCCTCACAAATGTGTTTTCAAGCACTTTTCACTGTGAAACATACTGAAACAGCACCTGTCTATCCAAATTATCTATTTTGAAGCATGCATTTGAAGTCGGAAAAAAAAGTGGCTTAAATAGAGACATTTTACTGCAAATGTAAATCAATTATTTTATGAAAAAAATTTAAAGTAATCTGGTAAAAAAACTTTACAAAATAATAAATTGCATGTATTACCTACATTGAAAACAAGTGTGAATGTGGTGGAGGTCATTGTTCAAGGTCATAGCATGAGATCAAAGGTCAAGGTCATAGGAGGTCAAGGTCAAAGCATGGGGGTCATAGTGGTTATGACATTTAATCCCCACCTCTTACCCTTTTCATTAGTGTAGCACAAAACAGATATAGTGGCATTGGGATAAGGATGCATAGATACTGATATTTGTTCATTGGTATATAGATGAGTGAAGCCCTCCTGAATTATGATGATTTAAATATCTTTATATTATGAGATGTATGTGATTGGCATATTCATTATAAGAATGTTTTGATTGTATTGGTCTACAAAGTTATTTTAATCAACACTGTAGTTTTTTGCAGCTGTAGTTATGAAATGTTATGACATAATATTTGTTAAGAGTTTAGAAGAGAGAGGTGGGATAATTTTCAGTGGCAGGAGAGTGGAGAGATGGCCTTTTTTTTTTTTTTTTTAAACAAGGAGTTTGAGTTCATATGAACTCTCTGTTTATTTGTAGTTGGCCGGTACAGAGAAAGAAGAGACTTCACAGAAGTCTTTGAATAACTATTGGGTGAGATTTTGGTTCCTCTTTTTTGCCTCTAATCCTTATCTACTCCCACACACTAGCAAACGCACATATTAAAGAATGTGTGTATGTCTACATATATATTTATATATATGAATGTGCAGTTGTAAATATTTTTATATAGGCATGTAGATCTTTTTTTGCCATTTTTATATTATATATATTGTGATTTTTATGCCATCTGGGATTGAGATATCTGTGTATGCATGAACTTGTCTGTACGTCGTGCATCATTCTA